AGGCTTGCCCACACAGGCTCACCTTCAGGCTGGTTTTCATTGAGCTTAATTAAGGTTGTGTATCTGCCATGCTCTCTGAGACCTCTGTAAGAGAAGTTGGAGAAAATAATAACTGAAAGGATTTCTTCGAGAAATGAGACAAAGAGTGGAAGAGATGTCCTAGTAGTTTACTACTTACTCTGGGTAGTTGATTGATTAAATAACAAGTAAAAGCGGCATCAGAATCAAGGAGGCATTTATAAGAGAATCTCTCTTCCAAATTTTCTTAAAATTGGAGTCATTTAACTGTGCCTACATGTCCATGACAATAATACATCAAAAGCTACTGATCTCATGCTTTCATCTGATCTCTTTCCTGATGTTTTCAGGATTATAGAATTTATGAAACATGATTATTTAATCATTCAATTTGAAATACCCAGTTGGAGGAAGAGGGAAAAATAAACCTTGGTAACACCCTTCATTCATATTCCTTTTCTGTCCTGCATTTCTTTCTCGTTTTTTTTGGTGAGGAAGGTTGGCACTGAGCTAACGTCTGTTACCAATCTTCCTCTTTGTTTTGCTTGAGGAAGAGTGTCCCTGAGCTAACATCTTGGACAGTCTTCCACTATTTTGTATATCAGACACCACCACAGCATGGCTTGATGAGCAGTGTGTAGGTCTGCGCCCAGGATCCGAACCTGCAAACCCCAGGCCACCAAACAGAGTGCACAAACTTAACACTACGCCAGTGGGCCGGCTCCTATCCTGTATTTCTGTTAAACACACACGTAATTTAAGACTCACTCTTAATTTGTTCACCACCATCATCCCAACACTACTTATATATCTCTTGTTTACTCGTGATAGAAGGCTGATGTTGCGCATTCTCAAGGACTCACGAATTATCAGAGGATTTTAAGTTCATTTGCCTTGGATATTTGCTTCTTGTTTCTGAAATTTGCTCAGAAGAGGGAAGGGGACAGGGGAAGGTGGTCTTACTACTTCTTTAGCTTCAATTCCACGGCAGAGTACTTTTAGAGACATCTTGATTCTATTAGAATTTGCAGGTCAAAGGGCAGCTTCTACTGTCCTGTAGTTGAAAGCACCAGGGATGGAGTCACTAGACCACTTGAGTGACTTCGAGTTGGGTTTGCGCTAGTACTACTCGCTGTGCAAGTAATATGGCATGTTAGCCATGCGGTAGTGGGTTGCTAATCACTTTAAAAGGTTCTGTGTCCACATTTTCAATTCTTTTTTTTTTTTACTGAGGAAAAGACACTAACAGAACAAGGAGAGTAATTTGGCAGGAAGAGCATTGCAGGTCTTATTTTGCTCTGGGCTCGTGGCGTACATATATTACCTTTCCCATTTTATGTGCTTGTCTTACTCCCTAGGGGCTCATGGGAAATGAAGTCAGTGTGTGCTCCACTAGCAAGTCCTTTTCTGTGGATAGCCTTTAGTTAGTGAAGCTCTTAAAGTCAGTTACGAATCCCATCAAGCTTCATTCTTCTTTAAAATAGCCATGTTAGAATTAGAATAGGTGACTTCCAGATCTCAAGCAATTGACTCTGATTGAAAAGGAACTATTTCTGGTATTTTTATTTTCTTCTTTATAGTTTTCTGTATCTTCCAGCTTTTCTTCAATGAATGCATGTTACTTTTATCAAAAAATATGTTTTCAAAGAAGCAATTATATTAAGAGTAGGTGGCTACTGAAATAAGATTCTTTTTGTAGTTTGCTTTTTTTCCGTTCTGAATTCCATTCCCTCCGAAAAGCAGGTTACTTTTAACAAAATTTTGTAGTTTAGACACTTTTGAGTGCTCTCTGTAAAATTTAACCACATAAGTTCAACTACACTGTATGGTCTTTTCTATTAGATATATTAAGGGAACAGCAGGATTTTTTTTTTATTCTCAAAAAGTTAGATGATTGTTACTATTGGTCAACTTTAATATTCCTCCAGATTTTTATAAAGAGGTTGTTCTTCACTATAGTGTCCATTTCAAATCTGTAGACAAGATATTATTACCATCTCTGTCTCTTTCCAAAAACAAAAGAAAAACCTAAAAGCTAGTATACCCATAAAAGATGCTGACATTATCCAGAGTTTATATGATTACACGTACAGTGTATAATCAAAGCATTTTATTCTCTTAACTATGAATTGCCCTTTTTAGGCACATACACATGTTGACGAAAATAATCCCTAACCAATCTATAAATGAAAATTTGGGTGAGTTTATTCTGAGCTGAAGTCTGAGGACCATGGCCCGGGGCCTTTCTTCCCAAAGGAAGAAAGGGCACCAAAGAAGTGAGGTATACAGAGTGGTTATCTACCCCCATACAGGACGTTTCACATATGATTGAAATGTCCCTCCCACAATAGTCACAAGATTGCCCTGTCGACAGTGCTTGATGGACACAGCAGGTAGTGGGTCTGCTGTCTCAGAGGGTGTAGCAGGAGGCAAGCCTATTGTCTCGAGCTGGGTGGTCACAGGTGAGCGCAGCAATCAGTTCCTAGCCTAAGGAAAGATGCTTAATCCTTAAGGGAATGCCAACGTTGGGAGGGGGAGGGAAGTTGCACCTTTATCTCAAGGGTCTTTGTTCTTGCCATAGGGAATATCTAAAGCAGATATACAATGCGTGCTCAACAGCCACGGTCAGGCCCTTTTGGAAAGACAAGGTCAGGCCGAATTAGATTTACACCAAATGGCTTCCTCATATTCTCCAATATATCCTATTGCTTGCCATTTTTATTTGTCACACGTGTAGAAATCAATATCAAGAGTATACTTTTAAAATGGAAAGGACAATGGTATGTTAATCTGTTAGGAAATTTTTAGAAGGTAAGAGCCATGGGTATGGGAGAAAAAGTTTGATTCTGTGTAGTTCATAGTATATTATCAATGCTCAATAAAAAATAAATAGCATCGATGACATAATAAAATTTCTATTTGAATTGTATATAAAAAGAAAAAACTTCAGATTATGTATCTTATTGAAAAGGCATTATTGCATTGGCTCAGACTCCAGTGCCACATTCTTTATTTTAAAATTTAGAATCTGAATTGTCACCTGTTATATCCTATTGCAGTTTGGGAATGTGACATTTTACCCCAGAGATTAACTGTACCACACTAGCTGGCTAAGCATATCATTTATAAAAGATTTTGGAATTCAGGCAAAATGCTTCAACAATATAAAATAATTTTTACTATTTCATATTATGATGCTTTCCTTAAGCACACAGTGGAACTCAGATTCCATCACCTTTGTATCTTGCATTCAGCAAAGATGCTCATGATTGGATCTAATTGGATAGAGTAATTTATCTTTCATTCATCTTCTATTAGTTTACTGCTGCTAAATATATAATTCTGACATTGGTGCACAGAAATGCAGCAACCTTATTGAGAAAGCACTTTTCTCATTCCAGCTTTGTCAGCCTTTGAGCTTCCCAAAAGGGAACAGATGACAGCAATCAACAGGAAACTGCATAGTGAGACCATCTTGAACTCCTTCACCTTTAAGCTCATTTCACCACTTAACATATTTTTTTCAAGTGGTCAGTGGATATATTTAGACTGTTGTTATCCCTTTGGTGTTGACTAGAGCTTCATGGGATAAGCCATCTGCCATTTCTTTGAATTGTATAGAGTGTGGGGACAGTGGGAAGTTGTACTGGAGTCAGTGAGAATCTTCTTCCCTTCCAACAGCAAAGACTAGTTAAACAAGTCTTCATTTCCATGATGTAAACTCATCTACAACCTCTATTTGTTAGTACTTCTTGTTCAAGTTTCCCAGACCTACCCATCCAGATTATAGAATATCCTTGTCAGAAAATTCAAAAGATAGTCTCCGTGTGACTGCTATTGAGGTATAATTATTTTAACAAAAGACAGAAGCAAGGTTAGACTCAGGCACTGCATTCTCAGGTTCAGCATTTCCTCAGGTCAAAAGCTCAGGCCACTGATATGGTTCTTGTAAATCAAATCTGTCTTCTTACGGATGACTTCCATAGAAGATGAACTATTGAGGGATGCATTTTGGACTGTGAGACTGTTCACCAACTTCATTCTGATTATTTTGTAAATTTCTCATGTTTACCCCTTACTAAATTTCACCTTCTTTTCCTTCTGGATATCAACCAAAAAGTAGTTAGCTAAACCACAAGGAATCTGTAAAGTTTGCTGTTGTTTCAGACTGTACAATTCATTGCCAAATAAAGCCATAACTGGGAACTTATTTGCATTGATGAGATAAAAAGAGTTATGGATATCCAGAATGTCCCAGGAACAGATGGCTGGCTGATTTTTCTAAAGCTTATTTACTAACATTTACAATTTGTTACACACCCTATGCATAAAAATGTGGTCAGTTTCAGTAATGCCTCTGTTTGTCTGGAAGCTACAAAATACTTATCAAAAGAATTAGTTAAATGGGAAAAGTGTATAGGAGGCAGGATTATTCTTACTTAAAAATAAGTCATTAACGGGCCGGCCAGTGGTGTAGCAGTTAAGTTCGCACCCTCTGCTTGGTCGACGGGGGGTCGCAGGCCAGGATCCCAGGCACAGACCTACGCACCACTTGTCAAGCCATGCTGTGGCAGGGATCCCACATATAAACTAGAGGAAGATGGGCACAGATGTTAGCTCAGGGCCAGTCTTCCTCAGCAAAGCAAGGAGGATTGCCTGCGGATGTTAGCTCAGGGCTAATCTTCCTCAAAAAAAAAAAAAAAGTCATTAACTTTGTTTACTTTTCAAGTTTAACTGCAGCTATATCTAGGAACTCTTTATAAGATGTCAGTATAACAACATAGTAAAGACATTTAGAGTCAGAAAAACCTGAATGGGATTCCTGGTTGCATCATTTACTTCAAGTTTGAATTTGGGCAAGCTATATAAACTCTCAAAAGCCTTAGTTTCTTCGCCCATAAAATGGGGGTAACAATAATAGTAACTTCAAAGGATTGTAGTGAGGATTAAATGAAAGTCTTGGCATTTTCTTTGTTTTGCAGGCAAGAAGCTCTTCTCGCTGCCATTAGTGAAAAAGATGCCAATATAGCTCTTTTGGAGCTTTCATCCTCTAAGAAAAAGACCCAAGAGGAAGTGGCTGCGCTAAAGCGGGAGAAGGATCGGCTGGTGCAGCAGCTCAAACAGCAGGTATGCTGCAGCGAGCGGTGCTGGCACCAGCTCTCCACTGTCCTCTACTCGGCCTCTGCCAGCTGATGTTTCAGGGGCTCATCTGATCTTTGTATCTAGTTAATTTCATAAGCAGAGACTTTGATCTTCTTCACAAATCTCTGGCTATGTCTAGGAAATGCACACTATCCTTGGTAAGAAGACTGGTTTAGATGATGTCAAAAATCTCCTGTGAGAATGTTTTTTCACTTTGTGCAATGGCTAGTTGAAATGAGTGAAATGCTGCCCATTTGAAATGAAAAAGGCTTATTTTTTACAGCCGGTCAGATTCCTGCTACAGAAGGCACTAGGTATCTTTTTCTTTAAACAATTTCTAGTTATTCAGGGCTAGGTAAGCTCTGAAGGTAAGAGCAAAGTTTTGCTGTTTTCCAACCTAAACCCTACCCAAATTTAATGCTTAATATTTATGTAAGGCCTTTCATCTTTGAAAATAAAAGCTAAAACTTTCCCTTTTGATGATGGTTGCACAACAATGTAAATGTGCTTAATGGACAGAACTATACACTTAAAAATGGTTAAAATGATAAATTTTATGTTACGTATGTTTTACCACAGTTTAAAAACTGGGGGCAGGAGGTGGGGGAATTCCTGTTGAAAATAAGCAGAAAGCTGAATTTTAAAACCTGAGTCCACTTCTTTATCTTGAATGCTCTTCACTGGCCATTCCTGTACTGTTTGCACTGTCGACAGTGCTGTCTTCCAGGATCATCTCGTGCATTCTCGGTCACGTTTTCTGTACATTTCGGCTGCCCAGATTTGCTCTTCTGCCTGAAGTAATCAGACTTGGCAAGTTTTTCAAGTGAAGGAATTTCTTCTTTTCTACTTTGGGGGTTCAGTCATCAAATGATAGTATTTTTGGCATAATATTTAATGTTCAAATTAACAAGAATCAGTATTTACACAATAAAGATATTTTCTCTGTTTGTAGACCAATATTAAAACTGCTTGGAAAATAGACTTTATGTTTATTTATGTGGCTGACTTTGCTAAGAAAATACCAAAAGATGTCCCTTTTCTATAGGATAGATAACTAACCAGCAAAAAACAACCTGTTGTGTATTTACAAGTGAAAGAAAACTTTTCTAGTATCCTAAAATAGTTCGTCAGAGGAAGAGGACACTGTCCAATATTTGAATGCCTGTTAAGTAAAACAGGAAGAGTGTGCTTATTATTAAAGACACCTGTCCAGTAGTTCAAAACTGAAATTTGGCTTGTCAAAGCTGATAATATGAGTGGTGATTGCCCTGGCCTGGTAGTGGGGCAAATGGGGAGATGTTGATCAAAGGCTACAAAGTTTCAGTTACGTGAGATGAATAAGTTCTGGAGATCTAATGTACAGCATGGTTACTGGAGTTAGTAATACTGTATTGTATATTTGAAATTTGCTGAAGTCGCTCTTAAGTGTTCTCACCACACACACACAAAAATGGTAACTATGTGAGGTAATGAAAATGTCACTTAGCTTCATTGTGATAATCATTTCACAACGTATGCGTATATTAAAACTTCACGTCATATGCCTTAAATGTATACAATTTATACTTGTCGATCATACCTCAATACAGCGGGGCCAGGGGAAGCCGATAATATGAAATAGGAGGGTACTGTTGAGGAAAGGCATTCTTTCACTAGTTTGTGAGTATAGATATTTAGCAATATCAGTTCTCTTAAGTAGTTAGCCCTGAATATATGGACGTATGATTTAAGTAGTTATGGTCCCCTCCACTTTAAGACACCAAATAGAATAAAATGTCAGGCAGCCTAGAGTACTGTATCTCATTCACAGTGGCTTTTGATTACTTGCCTCTCAAGATATGTTTTTATTAAGTGAAAGTTAAGGATATTAAGTAATCCATGAACTTGTAACCTTAGAAAGGAGTGGCTAAAGAATTCTTAATATCTTTACATCTAACTATATGCCCTCAGTGTTCTGTAGTGAGGCGATCTTTGTATGGAGAAAGATAAGGTAGTTCTTGGGTGTCCTTCCTAACAGTGTTTTTCTGTCTCCCTTCCGTGTGAAGTTTCATATTCCTGCCCTCTCAAAATGTGTCTGGGATGCTATGAGCAAAAATGAACAGGTCATGCCGAAGACATCCTGATTCTTTAATTTCTCTAAATGTGTGTACTAATTTTTAGACAAAGGAGAGGCCTTTTGGAAAGAGGATATGGCGTCAATGTTGTTTTAATTTAAAGCTTCTAGTTTTTGAATTGCTGGAATGTGCCTCAATCTAAAGGCCATTTCTTAACAAGGAGACAGTCCGCGTTGACCAGGCTTTCCAGTAAGTGGAACCTCCACTGCCTGATGGGTTCTTGGCATTCATGTGAGATTCCTATTGTCAGAAAGAGGGAAGCAAGAAGGGAGTTACAGATTTAGGGGTCACCCTCTTCTAATATGGTCCCAATTTGCTTACCCCTCCAGGGTAACTTGTCTTCCTGATTCCTTCATGGCAAAGCAGCACTTGGAGAGACCACATCAGAGGAAGGGTCAGGGCCAATGAAAACAATAAAAACTAAGGTTGTTTCACAGAGTCCAGATGTGCTGGGATGGGTGCAACCACTGCATTCAGATTGTAAGTCGTGAAGAAGCCCCCACTGTGATTGTCAGGCACTCCCATTGGGTTTAACGTAAACTCAGATAGAACCCTAGAAAGCATTAATACATCTGTTTAGCCACAGCAGCTGTCCCAGATAGCCTTTCTCTCAGCGTTATTTTCTCCTTTTCACCTCAGGAATCTTACAGCCTCCATATTGTATTTGCTGTTAGTTTGGAGCCTGGCTCTGCCCTGTGTGCTATATACAGATGTGTCCTGGGCAGGCTGGGTGTTTCAAGACAGGCTAGGTTGTTTTTTTCTGGTTTTAAAAGTCAACTATAACATTATAAGAGTAAAGGCTACAAACTTAAACTGATAGGTTTTGAATCTAGACAGTCTCATTTACCCCCACAACTTTATAATACTCTACATTAGGATTAAATGTCAGACAATATATTCTTTTATTCCAACATTTTCTAGGCATGAGGGCTATAAAGACCTCGTACTTGTCTTAAAGAAGCTTAGTCTAGTGCTTAAAGTACTAGTTGTCCTAAATATTTGGCAAAACCATTCTGCAGAGGATATTCCCTGGCCTTACCCTGCTGATAGCCTCAGCAAATCATCCTTGCGTTATGTGGTTTGTTTGCCCATTCATTTCAGATTCACTGAGCGTCTTCTGTGTGTCAAAAACTGTCCTCATGGAAAGTGAATGTCTTACTGCCCAGTGACGACCTAGTAGAGAACTAATCAGACCTCCGTTGTGACTCTGGCTATCCCTTTACCAGTTAGATTACTTCTCTGAGATTCCTGTTCCTCACCTATAAAATTTGGGTAACATCACCTACCTTACAGGATTGGTGTGAGATTAATTACTTAAATACTTAAGGACTTAGATCCCCACTTCTCTTCCCTCTCAAAGATCCCTGTTCCACACGACAACCGTGCTGTAGGTGATGCGTGTACATTGAAGGAAGGGGGTTTCAGTAACTGGGCTCTCATTCTCACTCAGCTCTAATAACTTTATTCAACTTTCAGTATTGCCGTAGTGTTCAGAATTACACCACCAGCACATTGTGTTCTGCTCTTCTGGGGAAGAAGTTCTCAGAGCAGTTAGGAGAGTAAGACAGTAGTATGTTTTGTTTTGTTTTGGTTTTGTTTCTTTGTTTTTTTGAGGAAGATTAGCCCTGAGCTAACATCTGCTGCCAATCCTCTTTTTCCTGAGGAAGACTGGCCCTGAGCTAACATCCATGCCCATCTTCCTCCACTTTATATCTGGTACTTCTGCCACAGCAGTGCGATGTCCATACCCGGGATCCGAACTGGCGAACCCCAGGGCCTCTGAAGCAGAACATGCAAACTTAACCGCTGCACCACCAGGCCAGCCCCAAGTAGTACATTTTATCCTTCCTTTTTTCTACCTGTTTTTTTTTTAATGATATGCTATAATATAGCATTTTAAAAAAGATAATTCTAATGTCTTTCTTAAATCTTACATTTTCATCATTGAAGAGCATCATTTAAATGCCCACTTGCCCAAAGTTGTCAGCACTAAGAAAATTATAACTTCCAAGCATACATTCTGTTTCACTCACTTTCTGGTTCTGTGGCTTTCTGTTTGCATACGTGCCTCTCCCTTATATCCCTGACTAGTATAACTTTTCAGAATTATGTGAAAACAGAATAACTACAAAAATGGCTACCACTTATCAGTTGACTATAATATGCTGGGCTCAGTTGCTTTATAGACATCATATCTAGTCCTCACCACAACATTGGGTAATATTATCCTCATTATATAGATGAAGCATTTGAGACCCCAAAAGATGAAATCTAAATTTCCGCAAAGACTAAGTGGTGGAACCAGAATTACTGCCAATTCTCTTCTTACTCTTCCCGTCTTATGTGGACATTCCAGCCAGTTGGTAATTCTAAAGGTCGTATTGGAATTATAATACAGACAATGCTATTTCAAGTTTTTATGACACTCATTTGTTCCCCTGAGAGATAGGAAAGGATATTTATTTATACTCCATTCCTTCCCCTCTCTTTCTGCCTATGAAGAACCCGAAACAAAAAAGAAATGATATGGTTTGTCCCTGTTTTACAGATTACCAAGAGAAGTACTATGAACTTGAAGCTACAAAATAGCAGTGAAGTATAATTTCGCTTCTTTTATGTCTTTAGAGATGGCAGTACCCTATCAGGACTCAATGTGCTATGCTTCTAACAGTATGCACCCAGGAATGCTTCACATTCTGCCTGCTTTGAGCAGTCTGCAAAAGCACTGAAAGCACCAGCCAGTACCCAGCCCCCCAGACTTTGACCACCCTGCACAGACAGAGACTTTTCAGATTCAGAGTGATCACACAGGAGGGTTCGATCCCCTGGATCCCAGACCTATGGGCGCTGAAGAGATTTTCTAACCCTACA